GCCATAGGTTGCTGACCCCTGTTCTACACCTTAGTATATCACTGTGCCACCATTTAGTTACTGTTACACTCAAGCATCAAATGGTTCATTGATCTTTATACAGTGATTTCTCAAAGTGTAAGATTGTTACAAGCTTAATGTTACACTGTGATCAAACACGCCAGAGCACTTATCCTGTATCAGATCAGGGCTCAAGAGATTTCTCTGATGGAGCATGCCTCCACTGTTTTGATAGCTGCACTGCTAAAATCAAACATGTATGCTAGAAAAAACATTTAGCATTGAAATACACTAAAACACTTGATTTCTAGTCAGACCATTGAAGCCCATTCATTCTATTTCTGAATGATATGCTATATTTTGTTTCTGTTCCTTAGCTTCTTATGTCTATGAAATAGATCTCATTTCAATACATATTTAATATATTATGATTTACTTTTGTCCAGAAGATGTCTTTTGGTATTCATCTCAGGTTTTATCAGTAGTATATAACTTTTAGGAAAAAATATACAGCCTAACAAGCCAGCACTAGAAGTTAATATGGCAAAGATCTCTACAGACACCATGTCTTTCCCTTTTGTGCTCAGATAGGCCGGGATCATTGCAATCCACACACTACAGAACACCAGCATGCTGAAGGTGATGTACTTGGCCTCATTAAAACTGTCCGGTAATGTCCTGGCAAAATAAGCAATAATAAAACTAACCGCTGCCAGAACTCCCATATAACCCAGAACAGAGTAGAAGGCAATGATTGAGCCTTCGTTACACTGAATGATGATCCTTCCAGGATAAGAATGCATGTCCAGTTCATGAAAAGGAGGGGAAATGCACAACCAAAAAACATTAATCAGGATCTGGATACATGAGCATATCAGAACTATGGTATTAGACACTTTGACCCCAACCCACGTTTTCCATGAGCTGCCTGGTTTAGTAGCTTTGAAAGCGATGTAAACCATGATAGTTTTGCCCAGTACAGAAGATACAGCTGCTGAGAAGATGATCCCAAAAGAGGTTTGACGCAGCTTGCAGGTTATATCCACAGGGCAACCGATGAACAGAAACACACAGAGGAAGCTCAGCATGAGAGAGACCAGGAGGATGAAGCTGAGATTACGGTTATTTGCTCTGACAATGGGAGTTTCCCGGAATAAAATAAATAGTCCCAATATAAAGACAATTATGAGTGAAAAAAAAAGAGAGATTAAAGAGAAAACTAAAGTCATAATATCATTTTCATATGACAGAAAGTCATACGTTTTGGGAATGCAATTTGTTTTATTTTCATCCGGATATTCATTGTCAGGACATTTCTGGCAGTTATCACTGTCTGTAATATAAAGAATAAAAATAAAAAAAACACAAGACAATAAATTATCAGTATTGATGGAAGTTTAATTTGAGAAATATGAAACTCTATTAAATAAATTAAGCAGTTTATTAAATAGTTCATGCTTTAGTAGGATGGCATTTGCCATTAAAAGACACTATAGTCACCAAAACAGTTTAGTTTAATGAAGCAGTTTTGGTGTATGATTAAGTCTAGAGTTGAGCGAACCCAGACTGTAAAGTTCGCGTTCGTACCAAACATTACGTTTTTCGGACCCAGGACCCAAACACGGACATATCACTGTATGTTCGGGTTGGAGTTCGGTGTTGAGCGATTTAATGGCGCGTTTTCAAAGACTGCAGGGCAGCCAATCAACAAGCGTTTGACACGTGTGCCCTAAGAAGCCATCACAGCCATGCCTACTAATAGCATGGCTGTGATTGGCCAGTGCAGCATGTGACCCAGCCTCTATATATAAGCTGGAGTCGTGTAGCACCGCACGCACATGAGGTCTTATTAGTGTAGGGAGAGGATGCTGCCGCTGTGAGGGACAGCTTAGAAAGGAATTCTGCAAACATTAGTGGGGTGCACTTCATATCTGAGTGTCAAATAGAAGCGTCAAATACTGCTTTCACATTGCAGTCTTAAAACTTAAAATGTTTTGGGTGCTAAACAGTATTTTAGTGGGGAGCACTTCATATATGAGAGTCAAATAGAAGCAAATAGTGCGCTTACAGTACAGTTGTAAACATTCTAATTGTTTTGCTGCTAATCTGCTAAATCTGCTAAATAGTACATTTTGGGGGCTGCTCTTCATATCTGAGAGTCAAATCAAAGCTTCAAATAGTGCACAGTGCAGTTGTAAACATTCTAATTTTCTGGGTGCTAATCTGCTAAATACTACATTTTAGGGTGTGCACTTCATATCTGAGAGTCAATTCAAAGCGTGAAATACTGCGGTTACAGCGCAATTGTAAACATTCTTATTTTCTGGCTGCTAATCTGCTAAATAGTACATTTTGGAGCCTATTTTTCATATATGAGAGTCAAATCGAAGCGTCTAATAGTGTGCTTACAGCGCAGTTGTAAACATTCCTATTTTCTGGTTGCTAAACTGCTAAATAGTACATTTTGGGGTCTGCTCTTCATATCTGAGAGTCAAATCGAAGCGTCAAATAGTGCGCTTACAGTGCAGTTGTAAACATTCTAATTGTTTTGCTGCTAATCTGCTAAATAGTACATTCTGGGGGCTGGTCTTCATATCTGAGAGTCAAATTGAAGTGTCTAATAGTTGTAAACATTCTTATTTTCTCGGTGCTAATCTGCTAAATAGTACATTTTGAGGCGTGGACTTCATATCTGAGTCAAATAGAAGCATCTAAGTAAAAATTCATATTTTCTTAGTGCTAATCTGCTAAATAGTAAATTTTGGGGGCTGCTCTTCATATCTGAGAGTCAAATCGAAGAATCTAAGAATGTGCTTACAGCGCAGTTGTAAACATTCTAGTTGTTTTGCTGCTAATCTGCTAAATAGTACATTTTAGGGCGTGCACTTCATATCTGAGAGTCAAATA